CAGTCTCAGTCCGAATGGTCTTTCACGCATGGCTAGATGCTGGTACCAGATGGACAAAGCCATTGACTGTGGAAGGGTGCTTATGGCATGCCGGATGTAACCTGTTTGGTGCTATCTGTACAATACGACACAGTTGCCTAAGCGCACTCTATCCCTATTTTATAAAAAAATTGAAAGTTATTCCGAATTGTTTGCATGGGTGACTTCGAATTCAGAGTACGTGCTAAGCATAGCTTGTTGCGTGTACCCCGAACCCACCACCCAAGCGGGCCGTCCAGTTCAACAGCTAATTTTGCCTCCGCTCTTTCGCCAGACAGGAATGCGGAGGGTTTTACGTGCCGCACAATGCCGCGACACGGCCGCCTCGGGTGTGGGTTGACCCTCGTTGGCTTGTTGCCAGCTGGCCTTTCATTTCAGTCGGGTCAGACAATGCACCCACTCTAGGACTCGTACCCAGTGCCGCTGGATTACGGGTCCAGCATCTTTCCCCTAGACCACGGAGGCGGCAAAACCAAATGACGGTTCTCCCGCCAAATTCTCCTTGGCTAGGATCCCGGGACTAAGTTGGTAGCCTGGAGGAAACTGGAAACAGCGCGTGTTAGGAGATAAGGATGGTTGTGCCCACCCATGCCAGAGGTTTATGGAGCATTGCGCGTAAAAACAAACACAAGATGCGCAAGGTGAACCTGATGCACTTTTTCATTACATTTGATAAGTGGTATACGAATAATTATCAAGCACCAATGTAAATGATAGAAGAGCCTTAACCATGGCGGGAAGTAGTCGATAACTGGTGCTGCAAGCATTTGCTTCACAACTGAATACTGAACGGTGATGTGTCTCACCTTAAGGCGCGTGTATTCATTGTCAATAGGCTGTTACTGCCCTCCAACTTATCATATAATTAACCAGATTGTTCAGGTGTTGGCAACGAATAACGAAAAGACAACACTGCATGACACGATAAGTCCCTTCGGATGGCGCATGCTTGGTAATATTGCCATTGTCATCTACGCATTTTCGAAGACATTAAGTAACCTTACATGAACAGCATTATTGATTAGCACGAGGGTTTGGGCGGATGCTTGCAAAGGACGTGGCCACCAACTTCAGGGGAGAATGCGACATGGAGCATGGTGCACTTGGGTGAATATGGTTTAGCTTTGTTTCCATATGGAAATTAAAGTCAAATGAGCGTCGGTTAAATTCGTGATGCAAAACCCAACTTTTAAGTAGATTTTTCCTGGTTCGCAATGGGGTTAATGCTCAGCATTCTTGGACAGTGAGGGGTGCCATGACACCCAGCTTTTCCTCGTCGTTAGGCCCATGATTGAGATTTATCAGGACTTTCAATCTATTGCCAAACCATATTGTTGCATTAGTTCATAGGCAAAAGGTATGATTTTCAAGTACGTCGGACCCCACAAAAATTTGTGCTCGTCAAACGTGATCCTCTTGCACTGCTTAGCTCTCCTTTGGACCGCACCCAATCAGAGACGTGGTCCCTTTCCTTTGCCGCAGGATACATTCTAAGAAAAAAGATGACGGTCGAAATATATCGAGAAATGGATGCTTACATTCACATCCAGCGTCCCCGCACAGCCAGCCTCTGATACGACATGCATCACATGACGGGCAGGCGGGGCGCAGTTACTGCCGATACATCCGTGTAGGATTCGTGAGAGGTGAATACCCGTATTTACCCCTGTGCTTAGCCGCGTCCGCACATACATTCATTGCAGGTCATTTGCAAAGTCACAGCAATCTGGAGGCAATGAAAATGTTGCATGTGTTGCCATCCTGACCCAGGTGTTTCCCACCGGGAAGAGGGACTTCCCTCCAAGATGCAATACAAGAGTTTCAGGGAAATATCAGGGACTAGCCCAATCACGCCTCATCCCAGAGAGATACCTGTCCCGGCAGCGCCAACAGGCAGGCGCCGCCGGGATGGTGCTGTTGTCTCATGCCCTGTCATGCGCCACATTCACTCAGCCCCAAAAATATGGTATTGTAACACAAAAAATCGTACACAGCAGATGCAGCTCTGGTCTGAAGTGTAGCGGTGGCAGTAGAAGCTCTTGTCTGGACAAGCAGCAATAGTTCTTGTCTGACGAGCGGCGGCAGTTCTTGCCTCAACTGGCGGCGGCAGCTCTTGTCTCAACCGGCGGCGACAGCTCTTGTCTGACGGGCGGCGACAGGTCTCGTCTGTCGAACAGAGGCGGGCCTTGCCTGAGGAAGCGGCGACAGCAAATGTTTGACGAGCGAGGGCAGTCCGCACGACGAATCGTGACAGCATCTGATCGGCCGGCGATGACAGCTCTTGTTCGGCGATACGCTGGCTGACCAGCTCATGTTTGACCAGTGGCGGTGGTTCGAAATATTTGATTGAAGTTCGCTGTTGAGGCGTATCAGTGATGGATTTGTAGATGTATGCCTGTCAGGCAAGCTGATCGGTCAGTGCAATATCTGACTCTCAGCAGCAAAACGAGCACTTCTATATATGAAGGAATTGCTATTGGGCGCTTAGTTTCAGCTCTCGTTTAAGTTTTTGATCCTTTGTTGAAGATCCGTGTGCTATCGCAGCCTCGTACGCAGATTTTCACGCCGTGTTATTCCAGCACAAAATTGTTTTGGACAAGACAGTATCATCCAAAATGGCTGTCGTTCCATCCCTCCTCCCTAACGGCCTCATGCGTCGCTTGTCCATCGTGCCTGGACATCTGCATCCTTATCGTGTGTTTAAAAGCGTGCAATGCTAGTGTGAATCAAGTCTTAAAGGATTGGGCGCACCGAAAAGCTACGCTTGGCTTAACATACAGCCATTTGCACACCTGATTCGTGCCGCGTCATTCGTAGCGGTCTGTCCCTTCGCGGTGTGATGCTTCTCCATTCTTGCCCGCGCGTGAGCCCTGGGAGAAGGCGAGACAAAATATGGCGTGCTTTTTCGCGTAGCGGTAAATTCCATGCCACAAGGTGACGGCTTGGTGCGGCGAAGCGGTCAACTGCAGACATGATAATTTTCATGTCGTTGTGCAAATGAGCTGATGGTGCAAACCGATGCAAGGAACCTAATCCTCCGTTTACTGCAGGCGATAAAAATTGCTAGGTCTTTGCCCTGATCTAACTTCCGTGTGCAAAACCGATGTTTGTGTTGACATATTCTGCCCATCGCTCAGCAGGATCACAAAACTACGTAAGTAGGCCCGCAATAAGAATGACTATTGGTAGCGTTTCATTAAAGACGGCCATCCGTTCAAGTACCAGTGGTATGTCATGCACCGTAGATGCAAACCGACATTTCCCTTCCCGGTGCCGGAGCATCAATCCACGCCTCAGCTTGTGTTTACTGTCAGACACTGACTGCTGAGGGGCGTTATTCCTGAAAGCTGCAACGCCAGGACTTACTTCGCGGGTTTCCCTCGGCCTATACCTTGCCACTAGCAGCTGTCGGAAGGTGTTGAAGTCCTGAATCTGCTCAATTAAAGCCCTATTTTTCGTTGACTAGACAGGAATAATAGCCTTATTCCCCGTAGAATTACCGCGATGATGGAAAGCTACATCGGCTGATGTTTCGGCTGCATGCCTTTATCGAAACGAACATCAGTAGTGGAATTCGTTCCGATGTGGGCATGTAGCTGAAATATTAATCGGTCTATTCTTCCATTCTTCTGGGTTTTTTTCTACGAGGAATACGGCTATTATTCCTGTCTCATCTACATGCATAATGCTTCTTGCAAATGCGCAACTTCCATAATTTTCGTCGGAAATATTGAACATACCCGGAACATAAAAACACGAGTTTTTGACTTAAGCCCAGTTTCAGTACGCAATTCTTAAGATTAGCGGAAGTTTCCCCATCCGTAGCCTCTTTTTAAGAAATGACAAGAAATTTACAAGGCTTGGATAATGAGTTGTTGCGTCTGGGCATGAGTTTTGACTTAACTCCTGAGTATAGAGTTGCCTTGCCGGAGGCTATTTAAATCAGTCGTTGCCCTTGCGTTGAAGTGACATACCAACACGATTTAGTGTAAAGGCGCTCATTCACTGCCGCACTAAACCCATGCAGGATAATTGCAGGAACTTTCCATTATCAGCGTCGATGCATCCAAAAACGGCGCAACAAAGCGACTAAAATCTCGCACTAGAATTATCAACAATAAGATAAAAAAATGATTGGTGATCTAGAGTTGCACTTCGCAGCCTTGCATCGTTCTGTCCGATCAGGGGATCATGCCTTTGGCTTGCTCTTAATATTGGCTGGAACCTGGAAACTCATACGCACCACACGTCAATCAGCGGGTGCACAACACAAGCTCCCCATCATGCTATACTACCGCCTGTCTCCGCTGCACCCACTTGCTGACGGGCAGGCCTTCGTCTGAGCTGCATGGGCTGCTGTTCGTGCGTCGGGGCCGGCCGGTCGCCGTGTCCATGTTCTGCGAGGCTCATGGCAGGCGGCAGCGACAGCGGGGGCGGCGCCTCGGCGGCCCGGCGCGCCTGATTGGTCGAGAGGCCAAGCGGCGCCGTGTTGCCGCTTCGTGGCCGGCTGGCAGAGGCAGCGGCGAGCGACGTTCTCGAAACTGACGCGGCGGGGCGGGCGGCGCAGCGAGTCACAGCCGGGATCATTCGGCCACGCTCGGCGGCCCGGCCTGTCAGCCGTCCAGCCGCACCGGGACGCCGTAGCTGCGCCGAGTTCGCCCACACGAGCTCCGCCGCTGGCTCAGCACCGGATCCTTCAGCCGGGCATCTCCCACCACCGCGACGCGTCTGAGGACTGCCTCCTGTCATTCTCGCCAGCACTGTCCTGGGTGGCCCTATACCTTCCCTCTTGTGCCCCGAGCGGCCCTCCCTTCCCTCTTGTGCCCCGAGCGGCCCTCCCTTCCCTCTCCTGCCCCGAGCAGCCTGTGTCTTCCCTCTCCTGCCCCGAGCGGCTTTCCACTCCCTTCCTGCCCCGAGCGGTCAGCCCCCGCCCCGCCTCACGCCGCGGCCCGGCCGCCGCCATGGACTCGTCCAAGGTGCCGATGAGCCTGGCCAGCGGCAGCTCCCTGCTGAGCCACGCCGTGCTGGGCGGCCTGTCGCCGCTGTTCCTGCGCGCCTCGGAGCGGTACCAGCGCACGCCCAAGTGCGCTCGCTGCCGCAACCACGGCATCGTGTCGGCGCTGAAGGGCCACAAGCGCTACTGCCGCTACCGCGACTGCGCCTGCTGCAAGTGCACCCTGATCGCCGAGCGCCAACGCGTTATGGCCGCCCAGGTGAGCCCCCCATCGACGACACCGCGCCCACAGGCGTGCCGCTGACGCTGCCGTCTGTGCCAGAACGACTCGCCCAGGCGGCAGACAGGGCTAGAGCTGCAGACGTCGGCCAGTGATGTCCAGCGTCACTCAGTTAACGGCGCCGCCCTCAGGGAAAGCTCCTGCGCCGCTCTCCGCATTGCATTCCCTGTGACACTGTCCGCCGTTCCCAGCACGTGGTTCACTCCGACGTGTGCAGTTTCTCGTGGGGTTCTCAGGGGCGCTGCTTTCAGCCCTGTTTCGGTCTGCAGCGATGTCGAATTCCGTTCTCGGTGTGTGCTGTGCTGCCGAGATGCACTGCCGGGCCAGATTATGCGACGATGCTGTGGATTTGAGCAAGCTCCGGCATGCGGCCGATCATCTGCACTCCGCGGCGGCCGGGCAGGAGTTCTGAACTTGCCACTGGTGCTCTGCCTTTGGTGGCCCGGGATGAGTGTGACTAGTTCAATCACACACAACTGCTTTTGGCTCATAAAAAATGATAATGTGCTGTACACTTCTTAAGCCGACTGTAACGGGCGACCGCAATCGACGTGAGCCGCCAAGTGTCAGTTTGAAAGGCGGGGTCGGCTCACAACTTGCACAATAATGTCTTGGTGGACGAGAGGGTGTAGGACACTCCACCAACACCATTGCCCGTTCGAGATTAACTGTTCTACTGTTACTGTAACGAATAAGTTACATTATGTTATACTGTTATATTATATAGCTATATTATTCTGTTACTGTAACAGCTGCAACTGTAACGTATATAATGTATTATATTATACTGTTACATTATACAGTTATGTTATATTGTAACTGTTGTAACTGTAACGTATAAGTTCGGGATTAACTGCAGAGTTCAAAGACTAACCTACAGTGTCCTATTTGCTCGTGGGGCCCAGGTGCGATTCTCGGCTAACGCAACGGCTGGTCGTGAGGCGCCAATATGACCACCGCAGTCGCTGGCACTCCTTAACAAGTTTGCGCGACGACTCGTGCGCGACGGCTTGTACCGGCTTGTCTGAATATTATCTTGTTAAGCTGATGTCCCCTCCATCGGTAAAATATATCGCAATGTGCCTTCCTAGCTAACCGTATGACGCTTTGCCCTGCCCTGATCCCAGTTGATGGTACCATCTCTGAGAACAGCTCTGCTCTTATTGTGTTCTCACTGTGAGGTCGTTATGCACGATTCCCAGTGAATTTTCCGTGGTTGGATGAGCAGAGGCGTCTCGACGTTACACGATCTGGCCTGTGCAAAATATCACTGAATGCTGCGCGGTTCAAAGTGGCGCAGTGCTTTCAGCTCCGTGTTGCATCGGCTGTGACGTGCCTTGCTGTGAATACAGGGCGATGCACTCAGTGTGTAGTCATGATGCCATGCTGTGTTCTCAGCACGTGTGAACTGCGATGCGTGTTGCGTTCTCGGTGGACGGTCATCGCGGCATGGGGCCGTGTTCTCAGCACATGGCGAACTGTGGCGTCGTGTTCTGTTCGCGGTGCGCGGTTATATGGGTAATGATGCTCGGTGCCTAGTATGCGGTGTGCTGTAGCACTGTGTTTTCTCAGTGCACAACTATAGTGACGCGGTGCTCTTTTCTCAGCGCTTGGTAAACTATGGCGCTGACTTCGCTCTCAGCGCGAGCCGTGTGGGCCCGACCTGCTCTCATAGCGTGGCGTGCTAGGCTTTGTCACGTTTGTGTTATGATAATCACCTAAAATGTATAAATCTGAAATACACTGAAAAGGAAACACTGGGGTGAAATCCATGGTTTGCCGTCAGACCTATCAGTGTGGGGAAAAGTTTACTCTGGGAGTGCGTGGTGTCATCATTTTGTACCAATTGGTCATTTTACCAACGCAAGTTTGGTTCCGTGAGACCAAACATAAAATGATGAATAAATACATGGCGAGGATTCTAAAGCAGCGAGGAGTGGAATCTCACAGCTATCTTGACAGCCCTGACCACAAACTGTGGCTTTCGCTACTGGTTACCCCGTTCATGCATTTCAAATGTGGCATCAAATTACAGCCGTGTTTTATACAGCTAGCGTGAAAAAGGCTGTTGTTAGGCTGCCTTCAACGTGATCTCAGCGTTGTTAGGCCGCCTCCAGCTTGTTCTCAGCATGCAGTCGTCATCTGACCAGGCACGCCCCCCGCAGGTGGCGCTGCGGCGTCAGCAGGCGCAGGAGGAGAACGAGCTGCGTGAGCTGGGCGTGGTGTTCCCGGTGCCGGGGGACCTGAGCAGGTCTACCCCGCCGCCGGCCGCCACCAGCGCGGGCGAGACCAGCAGCAGCGGCGCCGACGGCAGTGGCGCACCGACCCAACAGAGCCCCGCCGGGAGCGAGGCCGACAACGGTGAGGCTGAGGCACGGCACCGACCGGCCACGCCGGCTCAAAGGCGGTGGGCCTGCCAAAAGATTGTCTTTGAGCAAAGCACGTGGAGCACGTAGCTAAAGCATGCGGCATGCTCTCCAGTTTACTCAATATGTTTATTTTCGAGTGAGTGTCCTCTTTGCGCTATTTCATAATTCCGCAGGGTGTGGGCTCCACATGGACCCCGCAAGAGGCGAGTACGCGGTAGAAGTAAATCCGATATGACAGAATGTTGGTCCCTCGCCACGACAGCGCTTCAGTTCATGTCGCGGACGCAGATAAGATGCCTGGTCCAATGATTATTTACCCTGGATCCTGGTTCCTACTGGTTCTTTCGGCAAACCAAGACCCTGGATCTAGTTCCTACTGGTTCGTAGGACAAAACAAAACACTGGAACTTGGCTCCCACTGGTTCCCTCAACGAAGCAAAACCTGGATCTTGGTTTCTTCTGGTTCTTATCGTAAAACAAGACCTTGCATTCTAGTTCTCACTGGTTATTACAAGACCATGACTCACGCTTCTCAGCCACAAAACCATTCGAGTCACACAGAGTAACCAGCCATTTCAAGGCTAGCAAGATCACACTGATAATGATAAGAATTAGATTTCAAATGTGAATACTGTTGAAACCGGTTCATATCAAATGTAAAACGAAAGAGCTTGTATCCCTTTGATTTTTTCGATGGAAACCCAACAGCGGGATCAGAACACCGAAAACAGGCGGCTTGGGTCAGTGCACACCTGGCAGGCAGAACAGAGCCCCGACAGCTTACCAACCGACACTTGCATCCGACCGCTCACGCATCAGCGATGTTTTACACGGACGATTCTCACGGAAGCTCGGTCAGCTGGCCTGACACTACGCAGGAAAACTCGGAGCATCGTTCCCGCGCACATCCAGTTTGGACGGGTACTTCAGACGCGGACGTCACGCCGCTTGGCGGCACTGAGCGGAAAGGAACGCTTGACGGTTGTAAAAAGCCCTGCATACTCAAGACCAAGAGGCGCAACGCAACAAAAATAACCATAATATTACTCAAATCGTTTCATCACACTGAATGCAAACACATGACAAGCGCGGTGGCACGCAAACGCCTTTGCACGCTTAGAGAACAGCGAGACGTGGCCGAGGAAAAATACGCGGAAATTACACGCACAACCAAGCGTGCAGTGCAATGTTTTCACTGCCCGGGGATGACTGCAAATGTGCTCAGTGTTAGTGATGTACGAGACGAAAGCAAATATGCTGCTGCCTTACCGAAAACCAAAGGCAAGTCGGGTCCTCTTTGTGAAGAGCCTCTATCTCGTTGATTTCGAATTATGTGTTGCCAATAGATGGTATGAAACGGGCCATTTTCCCCCAGTTTATTGTTGTGATTTTTCAGCAACGACGAGGTCTGGATATGATTTTGACTCGCTTTCTGCATTGTTTTTATTGTTTGTAAATTTTTCGTTTCCCCGCTAATTAAATTGGTCACGTAAGTGTAGTGGGTTGCTATGTTGCGAGAAACCCAGCCCGGCAAAGCAACTTACAAACGAATTATTTGCAACTATCATCACCTAACCTTTGATTATTGGTGACTTGTTGTTGAAGATTGCTTTGTGGTACGAATAAGCACTGGGGTAATTATCGATTAATGTTATTAATCGGTGGAGATGGATATCCAGCTGGCTATGATTCTGTAAAAGATACAGAAACACTGGTTCGTAAATTTTCTAACGTTGGAAAATCACGTCAAGCACTCCAGACGTCGCGACGTTATGAAGTCGTGTAGTGTCCAACCGTCCAATACAACAAAAATAGCAGTCGGAGATGGAAAACTCATGCTGCTCTGGGATGGGTGGGGAGGGGGGAAGGGGGGGGGGGGGGTATGACAGCCGTTCATTACATCGTGGGGCTCAATGTTTAACAAAGTGTATCTCAAAACACCTTCGTTACAACTGCCCAGTTGTACTGGTAAGGCTTCGGTAATACCCTCCTCCATTGCGACACATTGCAAATAAGAAAATAGCGTACCCTTCGCGTCAAGCGTTTTTTTAAAAAATGTATTTGGTAAACCTGGGGAGAAAGCTCTGCAGACATGCATGGGCACATAAGCGTGGTCCGCCTGGTCACGGGCTTTCCATACCTGCTGTCGTATTCCTTGGGTGCGTGAAGTGACCTGTATTGCCGGCTGGTCGCGTCTGCCGCCTTTAAGTTAATGGTCAGCATTCATTTAAAAGTGTGAACGGTGCACATAGTATGAACAGAACCAGTGTTGCAGACAGTGTTCTCTTGCCGCATGAGCTGTGTGAAAGAAATGAATGGCAAGGCTCAGGTCCAAATATTCCCTTTTTGATGAAAGAGATGCATCACGCCATTTTTCGAGAAGATACATTAACATTGGTAGGCACTGGTGTCTTTCTCAGTTCGTGATTACTGAAGCCATTGGTCTGGGAAATCTACGAAGTTACACATGTTTAATTACGATAAGATAAAGGGTTGTATTGCTTATAAAATAAAAACCGCACGTAAAGCTAAGGCATAACCATAACCATTGAAAAGTATCGTAACGTGTCATTTCAGGCAGTTGCCAACATAGTTAGTAGAGGTTCCACCAGTCCGATGTAGGTTCAAGCAGCAGTGCTTGGTCTTGGCCGTCCCGAAGAAGTGACTGGCTCTTGTGTGAAAAACATTATACACGGGTTTTGCGACTAGGAAATTGTATCAGGTTCCATGGGAAACACATAGTTCTCGCAGCTACATCTGACTCTGGCTTAGTAAGGTGGTTGCCTTTGGTTTAACTATGGTTACTGGATCTACTTGGATTTATCTTTTATGTTTCTGTTAATCTTTTTGTATCTTTGATTTAACCACGGTTCCTGGATTTAGCAATATTTATTTAAGCATTTAACCACAGCGTGTACCACACATGACCAAAACATCCGAGGCGCCTCACATCAGCACCTCTCAGGCCTGGTCAAGATGGGTTGTTATGCAGGAATATGCGAAGATCGTATGACCCTTAATAGCATCTATCAGCGTTTATATATTCCGCAAGCAGCCGAAGTGCATTGACCTACATCGCGAGTACTTGCATGGCTTGTGTCAAAACTGTTGTGGCTTGCCTCCGCCTGTCAGAAACGCCTAGATGAAAAACGTCGTCCACACTTGCTCTGGCGACGCCAGCTGACCCCGGCGATGTACATGACTGATGGAGCTAACGTCAAAAGAAATTTGGGCTGGGCTCTGGAAAGGTATGGTCGTGTTACATTGTTGTTTATTGACCAACCAAGACCTATTCGTGCAAATATGATTTAGTATTACTTTCTCTGAATCACGTTGGGAAGAGTGCTATCCAGCACCATAAAAACAATGAGCGCCCTAGGTCACGATACCCGCACTAAGACGTTACGCCTGTGAGAGGGAGACATCGCGTATGGTTAAACACGTGTTATTTGCAAATATATAACAAATTTAAGCTTTCATTCGATGGGTATTACATTGTTACACCCGACATGTTTCAATATGTTGCAGATCGCGTATCTTATCACGTAAGTAAATATTTGAAGCTCCGGCCGGAATGGCCTATACTGATCCGAGTCTGACTCAAATATGTCTCCCGCGAGAACCAACTTCACCCTTGCTTAGCCAAATTTGAGACGGTTCCGCTATTTACTCCAATTCTGGCCAGTACCGACACAGGTGTGCTCAATGATGCCGAGACGAGTATTTTACTCGTCCGCCATCAGCAACTCTCAAAATGATCTTGCCCCATGGTAAACGGCTCACTGGATGTAATATTTGACCTTATCGTTTGCAATTCAGGGCAGGTGTTCTAGCGCTAGGATCCATTACCATTTATCGCACGTTTCGCTGCCGGGGCGCTACGATAGCAAAGGCCGTCTGTATTGGGACCTGTCTCAAAACAGGTATCAGGCTCTCCGTTACCGATCACTGACAACCTGATCGTACAAAGAGCCTATTCAGATCATACCGCGTAAGCGCATCAGATGGAAGCGAGTTAGTTTTCACTTCATATGCTCGTCTGCACATGCAGGCCTTCCAATCCCCAGGCAGCTTTTCTACAACGGCGTGTGACCTCTTAGCGATGGAATCCGTTCTTCTGCATAACTGTTCGCCGCCCAATTTCTGAGGTTCCTGCAAATTTCAGTTTCTGTGCCTTAAGCTGGAAAATTGTCACTTCATTTTAGGGCGCACATGAAGCGACCAAGAATCATAAAAATAGTGAAATTACGACGACAAACTACACCATCCACGTGTCTCGTAAATACATTTACCATTTGGTGGTGGTGCTGCAGTTCTTGAGCATGTTGCAACGACTTAGAGACCTTCGAAGGTCAACGAGGTATTTACCTCAGTTTTTCGTGCTGTTTTTAAATATCGGCCGGATCTGGAAGCCCACTTTTTGTTTTAATGGGGGATAACAGGGTACCGTCGGATGGACGGCAAGTGAAACAATCACACTGACTCCTGTCCTGTTGCTCTATCTCAGTAATGTGGCAAATGCCTCGTACGGCGGAGGAAAAAGGGCAGCCAGCCGCCAGGTGCTGCCGTCGCCGACTGGCAGCGTCAGTGTCCCCGGGGGCGCGTCGGCCGCTAACGCCGCGGTCATCAGCGCCTTTTTAGCCGTCTGGCAGACCGGCGCGAATGCCAGTCGTGCTCCCATATCGCTTTGTGCCGGCCGTGCGCCTTACGACTGTTCCCGCCAAAAATCCAATATGAATTCCTGGGTGGGCCGCGCCATTCCGCCGTTACTTTCGGTCTTCATACCGGCGTCGGGAATTAATTTGAAATGTGATAACAATAGACACAATAGAGCAGGTTATGGCCGAGGAGATAGTGATGGG